AAAATAATAAATACAAGTGCTTTTAATTTTATTTTTAGATTAAAATTTTGAGAATAATTTTTATTTTATACTTAGATTACCATGATATGATAAATAACTAAAATTAAAAAATAATAATAAATTTAAATTAAAAAAATATTTTTTTAAAAAAATAATTATTTATTTTAAGATAAATTTTAAATAAAAAATCATCTACAGTATTATTGTAACAAAAGGAGTAATTATTACGAAGAGGAACACTGATGCAAGGAAATGCTGCATTTCTTCGCACACACTAACTTTAATCAACAAAATTAGGAACAAATTAACCGACCAAAATTAAGATAAAAGTAAGATTAATTAAGTTCCTTAATCTTATCCATGTATTAAAAAAGAAGTTCCTTAATCTTTACCTAACCGACCGAAATTAAGCTAAGCTCTGATTAGCTGGTCTGAATTGCACGCCAGACGTGCGTGGTAGACTGGAGTCACTTGACAGTGATTTGCATGCTCGGCAGCTTTGCTTTCACACATGCTGGAAAATGGAATTTTTTGTTTTATTTTATTATTATTTTTAGTTATAGGAGATAATGTACTTTTAGTATCTGTTTAGTACAGTTTGTTAAAGTTTTTGTTTTATTTTTGATTTATGGATGATAAATTTAAATTTTTATCGAAAAAAAATTTAAAAGTTATTTTTAAATATAAAAAAGTATAAGTAAAAAAAATTTATGAAAATTTAAATTTGAATTTTTTAATCATTTACTATTTAGAGTCTTTTTAAGGTTAAAAAAATATATAAAAAAAATTTTAAAAAAATTAATTTATAAAATATAAATAATATTAAAAAATTAAAACACTTAGGAAGCTGCATCAAACATACCCTTAGTATTTGTTTGAATAGGTGGATTTGAAAGGGTAAGAGAGAGAAGAGAGAAGTAGATGTTTTTTTTTGCTGTGTTTGTTCACTAAAGGAATCAGAGTTTTTCTTGTAAAGGTAAAATCAATTATAAAAACTTATATTTTTAGTCATAAATTGTATTTGTATTTAAGATTTGGTTGATTATTGTCCCTTACAAATACTGAATCACTAAAACTAATAATAACTAATTTTAAAATTGTAATGAAAAATCATAATTTTAGTGATAAAAAAATAAACACAATTATTAATTTATTTGTAACGATTATATGCGTCACAATTAACATTATTTATGATAAAATAATTAAACACAAATAGTATTTCTTTTGTAACATCTATATTTCATCACTAAAAACAAAATCTTTTAATGTAACAATAAAAAACCATCACAAATTTATTCATGACAAAATTTTTAAGTTATTAATAATTTTATATTGATTAAAAAATTAATTCCCTAAAATGAATTTTAAAAAATTTTCAATATAATTTTTAATATAAAATTAATTATTATCATTTTAAAATATATATTTAATTCAAATAATTTTAAATAATTATTATTATTATAACAATAAAATGTTTAAAGGCCAATAATAAAATTATTTAGCCAAATACAACATAGTTAGACTTTAAAATTTTGACTAATATATTTTAAATCTTTCCTTATAGAAGATATTTGTAGGTTATACTTTTATTTTTAAGCGATATGAGATCTAGGCATTTTCTTATATAAAATGTTAATAAACTTTACTTTTATTTTTAGGTGATATGAAAATTTTTTATTCTACAATTTTACTTATACATTAATAAAAGAATAAAATATCCATCAAATAAAAACAAAAAAGAACTCATTTAAGTAAACATAAAAAATAATATATTATATATTATATATTTGTATCGAAATTATAGTTATCGATTTATTTTAAATAATAAAAACTGATTTTTATTCATATTTAGAGTACAAAAGGTGCTCCAAAAACTCTAACGATCATATCACTTCCAAATATATTTGTATAACACACAATTATTTTTAATTAACTACAATAATCATACATAAGCAAATAATTCCACTTCTCAATTCCCACCCTTCTCTCACTCTCTTATTTGAGTTTAACCTCAAGTGTTAGCAAAAAACTTTCCGAAAGTTACCGAACATAAACCCCTCACCACTTCAAACACTTTCTCCGTAAGGTATAGGTGACTTGACAATAGGAACAAATGATGGACATGTCAAGTTGTAATTCTGCAAAACCCTTCTCTTGAATTAATTATGGTCATTAATTAAATGCAATTTCATGCTTGAAGTTGTTGGTGTAAATATAGTGTGAAAGTATGGTGTTCCTAGATATGATTATGTGTATGAAAAGTATTTGTAGTGCAAGTATATTGTACGCTTTTATTTCTATCTATATACTTGAGTGAGGTAACTTTTTGTAAAGTTAATAATAGTACACGAATCCAATATAAATGTAATTTTATTTGTAAGGTAGGAATATCTCTTATTTTCCAATAATAAAATTTGATGTTCAAAGAAATCAATAAAAAAAACTCCATAAAAATGTATATTTCTTTGGATTTGGTGTAAGAAATAATTAAATATTTCATGAACAAATAATAAATAAGATGTTTAATAAAGTTAGGAGCACCTTAATTCACTATAATTTTTATTGTATTTGAGGAATAAAAAGATTATTTGAGAATAAAGAAGTAGGTGGCACACTTTTTCTTAATTAATTTGGTTGAAATTTTATATTTTAATAAAAAAATTTTCATTAAAGTGTGATTGCTATTATCATCACAATCTTTTTTTTTAAAATTTATTTCTCGAGTTTAATTATAGCATAATTGTGAGAGAGAAATTTGTTACTTATTATGAATTTCTTTCTTGACAAATTGTATATATCATCACAAAATGTAATTATTACAAATGAAAAAATTTAGTCACAAATAAAATTTCATACAAAAATTAATTATTTGTAGTTAATATTTTACTAGTAACTAATACTTAATTTAGAGTGATGATTTTGATTGTAACAAATTTATATTATTTATTGTGATGAATCTTTTGTGATTGAATGTAAGTTTTATGTCAAAATTATATATTTTAATTTCAAAAATTAATATTAGAAACTAATATCTTGAATTAGTTACAAATGTAAAGAATAGTAGTGATAAACTAGCTAGAAATCAATTACAATTTTTAATCACAAAAATTCTATTTTCTTGTAGTGGTTTTTCTTTATTTATTAACAGAGAGAGAGAGAGAGGGAGATGGAGGGGTGGTGGACTTCCCTCCATTCCTTATTTATTGGAAGGATTATGAGGGATTTAATTTATATATTTGATTTTTTTTAGTTTTTTTTAAAATAAATAAATATAAATATTTTATTTTATTTTTTTATAAATTATTTAATTAAATAAAAATATTATCATTTCTTCTACTCTATTTTTATTTATCCAAACAAAATTAATATCAATATTTTTGTTTCCTTTACTTCTCTTCCCTTTTCTTTCCCTCTCCTCCTTTCCCTTCCTTTTACTAATTTTTATCTAAACAGACCATTAATATTAGAAAACTTTCTCTTGATTTAAAATTTGATATAATTTAAATTACAATACTTTTCTTTTTTGTTATTTTTTCCCTCTACACCATTACCATTTTTCCATGATAAGAAGGAAAAAAAAAAATAAAGACTGTTGTAATTTAGACTATATTATTAACTCAAAAACTGTCATCAGGTATACATGAACTTAATTAATTGGCGCTTCCTAGTTCCCTAACAATAATTTTTCTGTTAGTAGTAGCTTCCAGAACGGCAATATCAGAACCAAACAATTAGCACTAAAAATTTATTTAGTTTGAGAGAAATAGAAAGAGATGGAGAAAGGGGATGGCGAGAGGGAAAGTAATCTTATTTACACAATTAAATTAAGTTATTGGACAAATGAAATGGGGACTTTGAGAAATGGGGGTAACGTTAGGGTTCTGTGGTGGATATTAATTGTTGAGGAAGATGAACACAGATTGTAAGTACAATTCTGGTTTCATGGAGGAGAGACCGTTCTTCCCACATCTTAGAGATTTCATGCAATGTTATTTTGTTATATTTCCCTTATCTTTTACCATCTAACAAAATCAATTCCAGACATGATTTTTTTTTTTTTTATATTGGTTACACAATGAGAGGCAATTATCTTTTATTTTTTTATTTAATTTCACTCGTATACCATGTCATTCGAATTCAAGACATCTTATTTCAAACAGAAGAAGATGATCACTGAATTATTTAAGTAATTGATTTAGACATGACTTTAATTTCGCAATTATTCAATAGTGATCCACCTGGCCTCCATTCTCTTGATCTCCCAAATCTGTGTGATAATGTGATTGTGTGGTATATATGCACAATCTAATCCATATCTTTTTACATTATCCTCGTTTTGTTTTTTAATTTTTTTTTAGGCAATGGAACATTATCCTCGGTTGGAAGTAATAGCCACTGGCCTGCTGGTACTCTTTATTAAACTATAAAACCAGGTATAATTGTTATGAAAACAAATTGTAACTAATAAAAAATACATATTTTTAAGGGATAAGTATTTATTAATTGAATTTTTAAAACATTAAGAAGATAGAAACCTAAAAATTATGTTATTTTAATAAATTTTGATTTAAAAAATATATTTTATTTTTAAATTAAAATTGAGTTTACTTTAATCTTTTATAATATTTTAATAAAATAAAATAATTTTAAAATATTTACCCTTTTAATATTTTAAGAACTTGATTGAGAAACAGTAACATCTATTTTCTAATATCTCAAGAAAGTTTCAAATTTTTTTTTTTAAAAATTATTGTTATAATTTGATAAAGGAATTGCCATTACACCTAACCAAACGATGTACCGTGTACTATGGAGCTGAAGCTCATCATGTCGTCCTGAACTGCAAGGACGAAGTTTGACCAAAAATTCGAAAGGGGTCAATTTTTTCTATTTTTTTTTATCACATGTAAATATAATAATATTATAACATATATAATAAAAGGAGCTGAGTCTTTGGTGAATGGTTCGTAAATAGGTCTTAACATTTAGATTTAATTAATTAGAAATTCGATTTTCATTAATTATTTTAATTTTTTTTATAATTCTTCATGTTCAATATATATAATAAAAAATAACTCAACATGAAATATATAGTATTATAAAATTAAATTATTTTATTTACTTAAATTATAAGAGTTAATAGAAAAAATTTGACTAATAATAAAATAATTTAAATTTATAGTGTCATGAAATAAAATTGTTTACATATTTTTATGTTGTAATTTAATAAAAATGAAATACAATTGTTTATTAACATAAAAGATGGTACTATATAATTAAATATTTCATTTATAATGTGAGTATAATAAGCAACTTATAAATTGTATATGATGGATATCCCATATTCAAAAAGTAAGAAACTAAAATTTTTTCAACAAAAATTAAAATTATTTAATCACTTGAAAAAAAATTAAAAGCATACAATATGATACAAAATTAAAGAAAAATTTAAAAAAAAGTCTTAATATAAGAAATTTTAACTAACCATAAAACATGACCCTCTATTATGAAGAGACGAATAATTGAGGAGATGAGCAGGGTTTAAGTCTAGAAATTTTAAGACTAGTTAGAGACTTTAAAACTGTTTTTATGATATTCTTCTAAAAATAAGAACATGTTATAAGCTTCTTTTCTTTTCTTTCAAATAAAATTTTGAATTAAACTTACATCCTTGAATTATATACTAAAATTTTCAAGCTAAATATTTACTTATTTGCTAAATTTATTTATGTATATTAGTTTTTTTTATTAATTTTTTGATTAAAATACTTTTAAAAAATATTAATTTCTTTCCAAAAGAGCAGGAGGGCCGTGGTCCCCCCTGCCCCTGTTATCCCCGTCCTTACTGAACTGGATTCATGATGGAGACTCAACAAAGTGAGAAATGTGTTACCCACCATAAAAAGAAAAAAGGGAAAGGTACTGGACATGGCGGGCTCAAGGGATAAGAGAACCAGAAGAGGGGATTGTCATGGTGTGACATAAAAACGACTTTTAAAAGAATGCAGATAATGTTGAAGGCAGCATTGGATTTGGATGACCATTTTCACACACTGTAACTTCACCATATGATTGCCTTGTGTACCTTTAAACCATGCCACCCACATGGATGTGCAACAAAGCCAGAATATATTGTGTAGTACTGAGGAAGACTTTCTTCCAAAAGCCAGTCATGTTGGGCATGCAGGCACCAAATTTGTTTAGAATCTGCTTTTCAGTATACTTTCCGCCCAAAAAAAAAAAAAGGAAAAAAAGAAAAAGATTGAAAATATAA